CTTAAATTTTATAAGGCCCGCCGCAAAAATAGAATCCAAAAACTTTCTGATCACACTCTCAACCTCTTGGGAAAAAGACGAGAGATGCGGTTGCAGTCTCTAACTGACATGTCGGACTACAGGCGGCTTAATAGGCAGATCTCCCAATACATGCGGCGAGACTTACGCAACTTCAATACAGGTCGTATTGAGGGAGCTATAGAGCGGAACCTAGGCTCAAAAGTCTTCGCCAGAGATCTGTCTATCGGACAAAGCCAACTGACTAAGTTGAAGACTGACAGCGGCGTTATCATCTCCAGTAGACCAGAGGTTTTGAGTGAGATAGAGAGGTTCTATGGACAGCTGTACACATCGTCGTTGGAGCCACACACATGTGTGAGTAATGACCCAAGAGCAAAGCTTATCCGACACTATTCCGATAATATCCCGGACGTCAGTCTGAGCGAGATTAGAATGGCTCTTGACCATCTTAAGAATGGCAAAGCATCAGGAGAGGACGGAATTACAGCAGAGCTTCTGAAAGCGGGTGGAGAACCGGTACTTGTAGTCCTTCAGAGGCTCTTTAATTCCGTCCTTCAGGGTGGTGCTACACCAGAGGCGTGGAGCAGAAGTGTGGTGGTGCTGTTCTTCAAGAAAGGCGATAACGCTCTCTTGAAGAACTATAGACCGATATCCCTTCTGAGCCGCGTCTATGTGCTATTCTCAAGAGTCATCTTGAATCGTCTCGCTTCCAGACTCGACGACTTCCAGCTTCCCGAACAAGCCGGATTCCGAAAAGGCTTCAGTACCATAGAACACATACACACCTTGCGGCAGATTATACAGAAGACCGAAGAGTATAATCTGCCTTTGTGCCTAGCGTATGTGGACTATGAGAAAGCCTTCGATTCTGTCGAAATTTGGGCGGTACTCCAGGCTCTTCAGCGGTGCCAAATTGACTGTCGGTATATCGAGGTGCTGAGGTGTTTGTATAACAAGGCTACGATGTCCGTCCAAGTACAGTCCAGTAGTACAAAACCTATCCAACTGCAGAAGGGTGTAAGACAGGGTGATGTCATATCCCCGAAACTCTTCACCGCTGCGTTGGAAGATGTTTTCAAGCTTCTGGACTGGAAAGGACGAGATATTAACATCAATGGCGAATACATCACCCACCTCCGATTTGCCGACGATATAGTCATCATGGCAGAATCGCTGGAGGACCTTAGTACTATGCTCAATGACCTCAACAGTGTCTCCCAACGGGTGGGCCTTAAGATGAACATGGACAAGACGAAGATCATGTCTAATGTCCATGTCACGCCAATTGTCACGCAAGTTGTTGGGAGCACTGAGCTCGAAGTTGTTGACGAGTACATTTACCTAGGACAGTTAGTCCGGCTAGGTAAGTCCAACTTCGACGCAGAGGTCAATCGGCGAATCCAACTCGGATGGGCAGCGTTCGGGAAACTTCGGCAAATCTTCTCGTCGAATATACCTCAATGTTTGAAGACTAAAGTCTTCAATCAATGTGTGTTGCCAGTGATGACCTACGGAACCGAGACGTGGTCCTTCACTGCTGGCCGTATGAGGAAGCTCAAAGTCGCTCAGCGAGCTATGGAGCGAGCTATGCTCGGTATTTCTCTGCGTGATAGAGTTCGTAACGAAGACATCCGCAGTAGAACTAAGGTAACCGCCATAGCTCAGAGGATTAGCAAGCTGAAGTGGCGATGGGCCGGCCATATAGCTCGTAGAACCGATAACCGTTGGGGAAAAAAGGTTCTCGAGTGGCAGCCTCATACTGGCCATCGCAGTGTGGGACGACCCCCCACTAGATGGAGTGACGACCTGTGCAAATGTGCGGGAAGTCGATGGATGCAGGTGGCTCAGGATCGTACTTCGTGGCAGTCTATGGGGGAGGCCTATGTTCAGCAGTGGACTCAAACAGGCTGAAATGATGATGATGATGATGATTTTGTATTTTAGTATATTTGTTGATAAAGCGGCTGTCAGGGGTTGCCTGAGTGTAGTGGAAGTAATCCTGCCTGTCGGTAAAGCTGGTGGAGTAGGTCTTGAATTAAACCACTTTTAGACACTTAAATTTATTTTCTTGTGTACAGACTTTTAATGACACGTCTATGCGAGAGAGTTTAATACAGCGATTCGAATGGTATACAATTGCCATGCATAAAAATAATTTTAATGTTGCCAACATATTGGGGGCCACGAGAAAGTACAATAGTTATGGAATTTATACACCAAAATCTTATTTAAACATCTAAAAACTTTTTACATTTTGAAAAGAAAACAATCTTAAATTATAAAGAAAAGTGTTATCCCAAAGCAAACAAACTCAGACACCCCAAAACATTGAAAATATTACATTTTAACATAGTAATAAACTTAAACTTAAATATGAGAACTTGTGTTCTTGGCATCGCAACAAAATTACACATCCTAAGATGGCCTACGAACATATGGTCAATTATCATTATTATTAATAGGAAATAAACAAACTTTTGTTATCGACCTTACATGTGTTTTTTTATTTGAATTCATTACCTCAAAGGCCCTAATCTTATTATCCTTCCCAGGAAATACTTTTGTTATACGACCCATAGGCCACATGAGGGGAGGTACACCATCATCTCGGAGTAAAACAAGATCACCTATCTTTACATTTGACACTTCAGCCCTCCATTTAGGTCTTGACTGTAAATTGTTCAAATAATGCTTATGCCATGTATGCCAGAAAGTCTGCACAATTTTGTTTGTGGCATTCCACAGCCTAAGTCTAGATATTGAAATATCAGAAAGGTCATGTTCAGGATATGATACTATAGACCTGCCAGCTAGAAAATGACCTGGAGTAAGGTAAGTGAAGTCGTCGATATTTGATGATAGAGGCACTAGGGGCCTTGAGTTTAATATTGCTTCTATTTGCGTAAGAACAGTATACATCTCCTCAAATGTAAATACATTATTTCCTAACGCACGTTTCAGGTGATATTTAGTACTTTTTACTCCAGCTTCCCAGAGCCCCCCAAACACAGGTGAGTAACTAGGTATAAAGTGAAAGCGAATATTATTTTGTAAAGCATAATTATTGACCTGTGATTTGTGACTCTGAGAGCTGACCAAATTATATAAATCAGTCAATCGGTTCCTTGCGCCTTTGAAATTACTTGCGTTATCACAAAACACTTCATGCGGTAGTCCTCTACGCGCGGTAAAGCGTTTGAAGCAGGAAAGAAATGTTGCGGTCGTTAAGTCTGAGGCTAATTCTATGTGAATGGCTTTAGTTGTGAAGCATACAAAAAGACAAATATAACCCTTTGAGATGATAGACCTTCTTATCCTGGATTGCTTTATATCTATTGGCCCAGCATAGTCAATACCGACTTTATCAAATGGATGTGCTTGTGTAACTCTTTGTGTCGGCAAGGAACCCATTAACTGCTTCGATGATTCAGCCTTTAACCTGAAACATGTTACACATTTGTATGTTATTTTTTTTATATGTCTAAGACCATTAATTAACCAATACCTTTCATTTAATACAGATAGCAATAATTTAGGACCTGCATGCATAAGCCTTATGTGCTCACTTTGAATGATCATATCAGTTATGCGTGATTCTTTTGGAAGAATAATAGGATGTTTTTGTGTATACAAAAGTGAAGAGTTGTGTAGACGCCCACCCACTCTCATCATTTCACTTTTGTCTAGAAAAGGGTGCAAAGCTTTTAAACACACTATTATTTATGTTTACATTATTTTTTAATGAGTTAATTTCTTTTGAAAAGTATTTATATTGTTCACGTTTTATTATCGATAATAAAGAGTTATTTATTTCTTTGCTTGTTAAAAAACTAGTTTTTATCCTTTGATTATTATCTTTTATTTTAGAATTGTAATAAAACCGCCATACATATGCTAATACTCTAGTCATTTTATGTATATTAGAATACCTTTCAAAGATATCAATTGTATTATGCACTGCTGGAAGCACAATGGAACTGGAAAGCCTGGAGTCTACCAGTGAAACTTTCATTTCCGGTAAGCAAGTAGGTAGATCAGGGTTATTATAGTATTCATACTTATCGTTTTGCAGGAATAAGGGCCCTGTCCACCAGAGCATGTTGTCTGCAAGCTCCTGGGGACTCACGCCGCGCGTGATGAGATCCGCAGGGTTGTCGCTCGTACTGACGTAGTGCCAAGTCCAACCGGCAGTTAACTGCGCCACAACTTGGATTCTGTTAGCTACATAAGCATTCAGCTGCGTCACCTGAGTCCCGATCCATGCAAGGACTATTTTAGAGTCAGAAAATAAATATATATTTTGCAAGCTTATCTTTGTGCTTATGGCTTTGTGAACTTTCACCATTAGCTTTGCAAGCAGAAGTGCTGCATTCAGTTCTAATCGGGGCACAGTTAGTGGCTTATTAAGTGGATTAACACGAGACTTGGAGCAAAGTAAGTATAAGCTTGCTTTACCTTCTTGTTTAACTCGCAGGTATATACAGCAGCCATAAGCTATTGAACTCGAAGCATCAGCAAAACCCACAAGCTCGAGAGACCGTGCACATGCAGTAGGAACTACTCTTTGCAATGTAATTGGTGTCATAATATCTAAACTTTTAGAAAATTGTACCCACTTGTTCCTCAGATCACCTGTCAAGGGAGAATCCCAATCTATTTTAGTAGCCCACAGTGTCTGGATAAAGCTTTTAGCAGTCACTATTATTGGTGCTATAAACCCAGGGGGGTCGTAGAATTTTGAGATGTAACTGAGGATTTCTCTTTTTGTTATTGGTCTGTCACCAAACTTTTCAGGACAGCTCATTGTAAAACAGTCATTCTTTACATTATAGTCAATGCCCAAGGTTTTTAAATTAAAATTTTGTTTTTCCAAATCAATGTTATCAAAATGTTGTTCATGTTTGGGAATATCCTGCAAAATTTGAGGAATGTTAGATGCCCACTTGTGCGTTTTAAAACCACCCCTTTTTAATAATTCAATCAAATTGATTTTTTGCTTCTAATGTATTATTTAAATCTGAGTCTGCATATAGAACATCATCAACAAATGTTGAGTTTTTTAAAATGGAAGAAGCAAGAGGAAGCTCATCTTTTTTGTAGACAGTTGCCAACTCATCCAGACACCGTGTAGCGAGGAAACTGGAGCTTTTTAGACCATAGGTGACCGTCGTCAGCTGGATGCATCTGATCTCGGTGTTGGGATTCTCTCTCCACAGGATGTTCTGTAATGAGGCATGTTTTGGATTTATAGCAACACATCTAAACATTTTCTTTATATCCGTAGTGAAAATATGATCACCAAAGCGAAATAGTAATAGTATTTCAAATAAGTCTTTCTGTACAACAGCACCATTAAGTAGAATATTGTTTAGGGATATTTTTTTTTTAGTTTTCATAGAACCATCAAACACTACCCTTAATTTTGTTGATTTACTGTTCTCATTGATGACCGCATGATGAGGTAAAAAGTAAATAGGGTCAGTTTTAAAGTCATACTGCCTAATGTCTATATAACGGCCATGTCCTAACTGAATAATTTCATCAATGAATTTTTTATATTGCTGAAACAATGTTTCATCTTTATGCAGTTTTTTTTTTTTTCCAAGTTTACAAACCTCTGGAGTGCTAGATTAAATGAATCACCTAGATGTTGATTTACCTGCTCTAAAGGAACCTTCACTGGCAAATCTACTTGAAAATGCTGATTAATTAATTGCACAGATTTTTTAAATATGTCTTCACAAAGTTCAGACTCTGTGGCATTTTCATTGAATATTTGAGGAACCTGTTCAGTATGCCAAAATTGCTTAATTGTTTTGCTGATGCTTGAGTCACAAGAAGTGCATAATAGGGACACATGTTGTGAGGGTGTGTGAATTTTGTTCAGTATATTGCCTCCTAATATATGACCAAATTGCGTGTTGATAATACACGGAGCTGAGTTGGAGCTAGCAGCATCCACTGTATGCAGCTTTTTTTCAGGCAGGAGGATCTGAAAAAAATATATCACATCCCATCAGCATGTTTATATCACTAGGATCATTATAACTGTCATCGGCTAACTTTATGTCAGCAGGTAAGGTAAATTGTCGAAACTTCTGCTGAGGCAATTTGCATGTTATTTGTTCTACCACGCTACAATTGACTGTTAGTTTGTAATCTGAATTAAGAGAGTGGACTTCGAGGGGAATACTATATTTAATTTTATTATTGGTATTAGTAATCCCCACAATGTCAATGTTGCTCTCTCTAGGTATGAGCCCCAACTCCTGTACTACATGAGAAGTGACAAATGAGACTTGGGAACCTGTATCAAGCAGGGCTTTGATGAGTACCTCAGTACCATCGCTTCGGATCAACTTGACCTTGGCTGTGGGGAGTAAAGTTTGATTATTTTTATTATTTTGTGCTATCAATACCACTGGGGTCTCATTTTCAACAGAATAGTTTGTATTTGTGTCACATTTATTGTGCAGTAGGGTACTGTGGGCTTTTTTGCAGGTATTACACCTGAAGTGGTACCTACACCGGCCTAAGTGTGGGTTCAAGCATATTTTACATATGTTATTTTTGTTTACAAATTGTATTCTTTCTTTAACAGGTTGTAATTTAAACTTTGGACAACAATATAATCGATGGGAATCTTTTCCAGATAACTTACAGTATGGACATGGATGAGAATGTGCTGCAGAGGTAGTAGACACATTTACCGAGGCCCTTACACCGACTGCCCTGACAGAGTTGCTCGAAGAGGGATGCCGTTGGTTTCCATTGGCGTCCACGGTTTCCAGTGCCAAAGCTCTCTTTTGCAGAAAATCTATAAATTCTACCAATGTTGGGGACTTCTGAATGTCCCGGTCCATCTGAAAATCCTTTGCTGTATAAGAATCTATCTTTCGCAAAAGAATACACAACAAAATTGGATCCCAACCTGTTACATTCGAGTTTAAGTTTTTTAATGCAGCAATATGCTGTTTTATTTGTGATATAAAATCTCGAATACATAATGAAGTGTTTTTAACATTAGGTAAATCAATTAATTGTGTGATATGATCATTCATTATGAGCGTATTATTTGCGTACCTATCGGCTAATATTTTTTAGAGCTTCTGTGTAGCTTTCAGCACATAAAGGTAAGTTTTTTATAAGATCATGAGGTTCACCCCTTACAAAATTTCGCAAATAGTATAAACGTTGTACTTTATCTAAATTGGGGTTGTTATGTATCACAGAGTTGAATATATTAATAAATTCTGTGTACTCACAATACTTTCCGGTAAATGTTACAATTTCCACGCTTGGAAGCTTAGTGTGTGCCAAGGGGGTGTGATTTCTAGGCATATCTTCTTCGTCACCAGTGCTGCTCTTCCTAGAAGATATTTCATCGTTCAATCTGGCCAATGTTGAAATGTACTTATCTTCTTGGTCGCCGACATTTTCAGAATCATCTGGGTTTTTACTCAAAATATCAATGTTATATCGCTCGCTCGTATTCCTTGAACGCCGAGATCAGGCGATCCCTTTTGGCCATAAGCTCAGAACATGACGCTGTTGAATATTCTTCTTTGGCGATATACTTGTGCAGCCTAGTCAGTGAAGCCTTCAAATATCCCCTGGCAGCCACTAAAGCTGCTACTTCACACATTTTTATAATTTTAACAAACTATATGTACGTAACGCACTTAATTTCGAAATTTGACACAAAAAAAAAACCAGTTCCCTAAGCGGGAATGCAAAAAAACAATATGGCGCAAAACGTAGAATGTACTAGAAAATAGACGCTCACAGTACTGTTTTTATCAATTTCCGTTCTTGACGTTCTTGACAGTGTTCGAATATCCGTGTGTTGCCGACGCAAAACAAAGCACTTGCACACTGTGCGAGAAAGATGGCGCGACGTCCTCGTAAGTTTCTTCCAAGCGCGAATGAGAAGGCGATCTTCCGTCTCGTTTTGCCGCTGCCTCGTCTAATGTTTAAGCGGATATGACGAACAGAACAAAAAACAAAATGGTTGCTTTCTTGACGATATTGAAAATGTATATGCAGCTTGTTGTTGGCGTTTATAAACTTTGTATGTATGCACTAAAAGTGAGATTATTAACGCTAGCTTGCAAAAATTTTGTCCTGGTTGTTATTGCAGGAGATTATTTGCTCTCGAATGTTTCTTTAATGCTGACACGATGTTATAATGCGCTTGGTACACGGAAAAAATGGCGTCTTGCAGAAAAAAGTGGTGTCCACGGCGAAATAGACAGACGATAGGTCTCGTGAATGTTCACAGTCACCTCTGATGGAATGTAGATCGAAGATTACTGTAATATTGTTGCACTCACGCACTTCGTAGTCCGTTGTGGTATGTAGCTCCGTGTTGGCCTTTCCGACTTGGGGCGATGGCGCTTGGCGCGTTCTATCAATTTTCTTTTCGAAGGACCAATGTCAGGGGTTGCCTGAGTGTAGTGGAAGTAATCCTGCCTGTCGGTAAAGCTGGTGGAGTAGGTCTTGAATTAAACCACTTTTAGACACTTAAATTTATTTTCTTGTGTACAGACTTTTAATGACACGTCTATGCGAGAGAGTTTAATACAGCGATTCGAATGGTATACAATTGCCATGCATAAAAATAATTTTAATGTTGCCAACAGCGGCAACAGAAATACATCATTTGTGAAAATTTCAACGGTCTATCTATCACAGTTCATGAGATACAGCCTGGTGAGACGGACAGACGGACAGACAGACAGCGGAGTCTTAGTAATATGGTCCCGTTTTACCCTTTGGGTGAGGAATCCACAAATGACAGACAGACAGACTCTGCTGATGTGCGCTCATCGGTGCGGAAACTGGTAGAAACGGATAGATTTTAATTAGTTTTATTCTTAGACAGTTTAAGTCTTGTTTCTTAGACACTCGGCCCTTATCCAAAGAAAGATGTATTTTGATATCTTCATTTATTGTTAAGTTATTAACTTTCTCAAAAAAAAAAAAGCAACGAACTTTATCAGCCCTACGTATGTGTGTGTAGAGAAGCGGGGCAAGTGTTAATATAAGCAACGTAGTTGAAGTAGAAACTCTTCCGATTCAGTTTTCTATTTTTCAATTTCTTCCAAAATAACTAGATTTTGATTGATTCCTGTCTACAGTGAAGTTCTATTGAAAAAATACAGATCATTAACTTAACAAATTAGTACAGGTATAAGCTAACTGAACTCCGTAAAATAAATAATGATGATGAAAGTAATGTTAATATAAAATACAAGCAAATTGTCAACTCAATCAATCAATCAACTCGAGTACTACTGCGATTCTAAGAATTTGTCACTATTAAAGCTTCCTTGCCCATTTCGCTGGGCCTCATCAGTGATACTCGTAATTATAAAATACTTGTGGTTGTATAAAAACGCGGCTGGGAGAGTTAACAGTACGCAACATTATTGACTGTAAATATATGATAAAGTTTATTATTGAGTAATAAGCGTTAAATATATCCAAGATATTGTGCAGTAATAATTGAGCTTATCCTGTGTGGATTTACCCTTATTGCCGGGACGGGCCAGTGAGCAAATTGTGAGATATCCTTTTCATTCTAAAATTCACACCGGTCTTCTTGAGATCGCGGTAACCAAAAGAAGCCTGCTTGAAGAAGCTTGCCAGATTTTAATAAAGTGTTAACAAATAAATAAATCTCGGAGCGTTCTCGACAACCCTAATCCGGTTGTGGAACGTACTCACAGCGTCCATTCAGCTTAGTTCAATAATTAAAGCAATTCACCAACAACGTTTTGAAGTCAAGATCGTGGGTGATTAACTGCTGAGGAATTCGCGTCGCCCCATCCTCAATTTAACGGGGTCAAATGGGCCTATGGCGCCTAGTTGGGGCTGGATGTGAGGAGGTATACTTCCTTCGTGTGCAGTTCGTACATTATGTATGTAAAGCTTTGCGTGTTTGCATGTTGCCCTGTCGTCTCATACAAACATGCCCCACAACACTGGAACCAACTAGTTACAGGGAAGTTACCATTTTTGTCCCGATTTAAAGAAAACATCACATTTCTGTGTGATGGGGCCACGCAACAGTCTTCGCTGTTGCACCGTTAAGTGATACGATTAACTACATTTGGAGACTATAACGTTAATACTACGTTGGAGATGCATAATCACCTATTAATAATGTGGGCCCCGACTACCTCACTCACCGAAGTATGACACTTCCATTTCACGCTGGTCTTCTGTGAAGTCGTGGTACTTATCCGGACGGACATACCCAACGAAATTAAAAAAAACCCTGCTAAACGAATTAACAGTGAAGACTTGCGTGGCCCTACCACAGTTTAACTTAAACTAGTCAACGCAGTTTACCTAGTTCTTTAAAATAAAACTAAGTTTTTAAGTTCAAGAGTAGAACGAATGACAGGAGACGGCGACAGAATGGTGTAAATTTGTTAACCATACAGCAATTTGTAATAAACACATAAATTATTGATCAACTCGGCTCCTTACGATAGCAATATAATAGGACCATTATATTGCTATCGTAAGGAGCCGAGTACAAGAAAAACAATACTACACACCTGTGACGTATTCATCATCGCCTTCATCCTGATTAGCTTACCTGAAAAAAAAAAAAAATGAAAATTTTATTTTATTGTATGCTCCCAATACCACATATTATACGTAACCATAGTAAATATATAAGTAAAGGCCGACTGAAAATCAGCGCTTCACTTCTGCGGCTTATGCTGAGACGGTCCCTTCCGCCACCTTTTCACAACACACATTTTATTATTGAATTTATTAATATTATTATAATATACTTATATTATAATTATATTACTTACTTATATTATAATCTATTATAATTTAATTTTTCTGTTTTTTTAATATTTTTCTCTTTCATTATGTAAACATTTCTTTTTCTCTGTGTTTTTATTTTTGTATTTAAGTTTTGTACCATTATTATAAGGTGACGGAATAAATGTCTTTAATGTCTTTAAAGGGTGTTAAAAGATTAATAAAGACAAAACATTTGCACATGACTGTGTATAAAGAATATTTCCATGCTGTTTGTATATCAGGTAAAAGGAACATAATAACTATAATTTTCCATATAAAATTGTCAGATGATTATCTAACTTAACGTTTCAAAGTAGACGGTCAGAGAGAAATGGTAAAGATTTTTTGAATGGACTAAGCGTTAATTAATTCTTGAATATAGAACCTTGCATGTGTGTGGTACAATGCAAGGTACCCACTAACAATAAACTATGGTTGATCAACAACATTTTACGCATTTCATTGTGTTTAAATTTATATTGTCCATAATTTGTAGAATTCTGCACTATTATTATAAGAGTTAAAAAGTTATTACCTTGATTCTAATATTTTAACTTTTACTGAACTTGAATATTAACAACTATTATAAACAACTATTACTAACGACAAGCAGCACTAGTAGTTATATCAACGTCCGGGAACGCAGTAGAAATCCAACTGACCACTCCTCCACCTGACCATGTGTCTCTTGGCTCAAGTAGATAACGTCATATCCGGTATACAGTGTTGCCAGCGACAACATTATATATACTGGAAAATTGTTTATAATGGAGAAATACAATGTTTTCGCTTCAATTAGGATAAAAATTTCAGGGTTGAAAGACTTGAGAATAGATAAAATAATAGAAACTCGAAAGCCGCATGACATCAGTTATTACCTTCAGGAAAATGTTTTAAATATACACGTGAGAGAAAGAAAACTCTACAGCCACGAAGTAGACTGAGATTTTTATGAAAAGGCCATCTCATGAGCGAAAGTACTCCAGTCTCTCCCTTAGATGACATGTCGTAGTTAAACGCACGCGTGAGTACA